AACTGATTTGTTTTTAACACAGATACATACAATATTTTAAATTTCTAAATTTAAAATAAGAAGACATAATTTATTTTTCCACATAGAATACATACAATAGTTTTTGTTTGTTATTAAAATTTAAAAAAAAAACTCATACATATATTACAGATTATACCGATTATTCATGGGGTTTTGCTGGGGGAGGACCGCATGGTTGCAAGGTTTTTTCAATTAAATTCCATGATAAATTAAGCAAATATAATAAATAAATTACCTGATTTATTTTAATAATTTCCACGGATGTATCTTAATTCATAGAACCCAGCTATTTTATTTATTTTCAAATTCAATTAATATTATTGTACGACGCGACGAACAGAAACTTTTTTATGTGTTATCAATTATCATATTTTGATTGTTATCTTTTTGCTGCAACGAGACGCCATTGAATAATGTGAAAAGCAGCTATTGTTCGCAATATTTGATAAGAAAGTCCAGTGTAACTTGTATTTTTAAATAATGTTGCCCATTCAACTCCAGTTACATTTGCACTTCTGTTATTAATCATTGCCTATCCAACACCAAAAACTAAATTATTTAAACTATTTTTAAAAATCGAATTTCTATTTTCTAATGTTATCACTTATCAGTATATACAATATATCATAATAGCTTATATCGGAAGTATAAAGGTAAATTATTTTTTTGAACTTTCAAATAATATACCTTTAGAATAATTTTAACAATATGAACATCGCACTTACCAGAATCCCGAACTCAGTTCCATTTAAGTGTCACAATGTATCATATTGTAATGAAGTTGTATGGTTTTATCTTTAAGGCTAAATAGAATGTTCAAAAATCCAGTACATAGATAATTATAATTATACCATTGTATGAATAAGTTTTTTTAGACTTTCTTAAACAATATTATATTAACACCATACCAGTTTATTAAATTTACATTAGGTATATTTAATTGAATAGCATTAGGTATTTGGTATACTTATATTTTTGAATCTATGGCATGGAAGTAGCATGACTTTGTAAGTTCAAAATTAACTAATTTATTTGGAAGATGAGCCACCGGTATTGACCATAATGTCCATTTTTAACATAGCAGTATTACAGCACTACTAATTTCAATCTAAAGTGTGATGTTGACAAATAATTACATAGGTATGGAGATTAAAATTTGTTTTAAAACTAATATAGATAACACTATAATAAATAGTAAGCATTTCCTAATTGCATTTATTAAAAAAAAAAAAATTTAATGATAAATGATCAATTATTATGTCAAGATTTGTTTTTAATAATGGACCAAAACATTATTAAATAGGTGTCACGACAACAGTGTTGTGGTGGGTATCTTACCATTTATAAAGTATATTATAATACCTAAACCAGGTGTTTTATTTAAGTGGGTACAACATTCATTATCTCAGAAAGTATTAACTTTTTCTGAAATTTGTTTTCTAGAACATTTAATAAACGAGCTGCTCTACAATTTTATATTTGTGTTATTTTTTTTGTCATCCTTATTTTTAGGGTTAAAAAAAGGTACCTAGACCTACTTTTGATTTAAAAATGGCAATCTATATTAAAAATGCCACAAATACATGGAGTATTAGTTCAAATAAATTTGTGTGGTGAAATTTTTAATTTCTATAAAGCCGTTGACAAGATATTGTACTTTTAAAATTAGGTTGGAGGAGAGTTGTACCTATATTATTATGAGTTCTGCATAATGTGATCACATTGGTTCAGGCCATTTAATTCTATTAACTGGTTGATTCCATAAAACATTTTTTTTTTCAATGATTCTGTATTATACATTAATTTAACATTAATAACAAAATATTTGGTTTAAGATTTTCATTTTTGATTCCAAATGACAGTTGATTATACAAACCAACGATTACAACTGAATTCACAAATTCCGGAGATAATCGAAAAAACAACTCTATAAAGTACCCCTCCAGTGAAATTTCTTTTTGAAAAATTTCTATCATTTAAAGTTGAATGAAAATTGCATGTAGAAAAGTTTTACCCAGGAAAAAAAAAGTCATTAAATATTATTGTTTTTTTTCGGTATTTTACATTTTTTTATATTTTACAAGGTCTTAAATTTTGTGGTTCTATGTGAGATGCAGCGGCAACGGCTGGCGCCGACGACTCGTTGCGGGATTTTTCGGCCGCCGACACCTTTGACTCGTCGTGACCATATAGTTCAGTTGCCGACCGCTACGAAGAGTCGTGGCAATAACGTACCTAACCAATACGAGACTTAGATGTAAGGCCATACGGATGAATTTCGTACTGTATTTACATTCGTACGTATGTCTTTTATCATTATGATGACGATTATTCGTATTTTAATTTCGAACCTATACGAACATATTAAAAATTAAATTAAAAAATTAAATTTTATAAAAAATATTTATTATTTTATATAATTATTATTATTAACGTTTCAAAACTTTTCTAAGGTGGATTTCTCGGGTGTGGTCGGCATCGAAACGAGAATTTTATTAAAGACCATACAGTACAAGAAGAACATGAATTTCAGTGTGCGATGCGGCGGCGACGGCTAGCGCCGACGACTCGTTGCGTGAATAATTTTCGGCCGCCGACCGCTACGAATAGTCGCAGTAACATTTTTTTTTTCTAGGGCCGATCTCGGCTGGGGTCGGCATCGAAACGGGAATTTTATTTAGGACCAGGAGAACATGAGGTTCGGTATGCGCTGCGGCGGCAACGGCTACCGTCGACGGCCCGACGCGACAACAACGTCCGAGTCCTGCGCTCCTGGTACGTCGACGTCTCCCTCGGACCGCGTACGAATGAACCGCGTACGTTGAACGTGTTGAACCGCGTTGAACGTATTGAACCGCGTTGAACGTGCGTCTTACACAATATATTCGTATTAATTCGACTACTCGTCGCGAGGATAATGTTCTGCCGCCGACACATGCCACTCGTCGCGGCAATATCGTTCGGCCGCCGACCGCTACGAATAGTCGCGGCAATAACGTCCGAGTCCTGCGCTCCTGGTACGTCGTTGTCTCTGTTGTATCTCGAACGTTTAAAATGCGTCGTACACATATTATTCGTATCAACCAAACGAAACTTAGATGTAGGAATCGAATATATTATGCGCATTGTATAATGTAGCCACGGAGGTTACGTAATCTACAAGTTTTTTTTAAAATGTTCGTTTAAAATGTTTTTAAAATAGGTTCGAATTTAATATACGCATCATAATAATATAATGAAATACGTACGAATGTAAATGCAGTAAGAAAAACAAACGTATGTCCGATGATTCATCTAAGTACATCTAAGTTTCGCATGGTTACACAAAATACGAAATATTGTTTGTAAATCACGAAAACATTCACTATTTTATGGACAAAAACGCATTCAGTGTGCGCACATGAGTCGTACGACCAGTAGTATGGGTTTGTTCGATACAAATTCGTATCCAATGATACTATGATACTAACTATGTACGAACGACGTATTCATACGAGATACAACAGATACATCGAAGTACCAGGAGCGCAGGACTCTTATGTTATTACCGAGACTCTTTGTGGCGGTCGACGGCCGAAAAATAATTCCGCAACGAATCGTCAGCGCTGTTCGTCGCCGCCGCTTCGCATACTGAAACTCATGATCTCCTAGTACTGTATGCTCGGTAATAAAATTCTCGTTTCGATGGCGACCACGCCCGACAAATCCACCTTAGAAAAGTTTCGAAACGTTAATAATAATAATTCTTTTTCTTAAATAAAATAATAATTAGAATAAAAAACATAAATATTATTTTATTTTTATAATAAAAAAATATGACTATAGACAGAGCTGTATAAAAAAGATAAATTTCGATTTCAATAACTTCTTTAAGTTATTATTTTAGTAAATAAATAAAATATGTCCTAATATAATTGTATTTTTTGTCATTTTTTGTGTTTCCCAATAATTTTCATCATGAAGTCGTATTAAGAAAATTTTTTTATCTGTTACCCATTTTAGATTCTGAGTGAAGCAAGGTATTACAATAATGTTTAGTTTTTTTTTTTTTTTTTAATAAGTTTTTACTAAAACACTAGTATTTCCGTACATAAGTCTTCTACTAAAAGACTTGCTCCGATTTTTACGTGTAGCAAATTTTCTAAAGGAAATCAGTGTGGAAAGGTACCCTAAACAGTTAATTTTTTGATTTTTTCAATAATTATCTCATTAAATACGAAAATCCAAAAACAAAGTGAAAACGTAAGATAAAATATATTTTTATAGAATTACGATTTTTTTTCTTCTGTGTTTACTTTTTCTATGAGAAAGCATAGTCCGATTATCAAATTCACCACCTTTTCAAAAGATAATTTCATTGGGAAATCCTCAAAAAAAATCAGTCGTAATTTTCACACACAAATATTTGGACATCGGAGCGCAATCATTTCTCGGTAATTTTTCATATAATAGCGAATTGATGCTAAACCATGAAAAATGATCTGAGCTTTTTTTGCTGGGTACAACTTTTCTACATGCAATTTTTATTCAACTTTCAATGATAGATATTTTTCTAAAAGAAATACCTCTGGAGAGGAATTTCTTTTCTCTTCCGATATTTTCTCAGCAAATGTAAAAAACTTGGGAAAAACATAAGAAGTAGTACACAATATTAAAGAAAAAATTATTATCTTTAGTTTGATATTAATTTTTTTATTAAAATCAACATTTATTTTTTAAATTTTGGAGTTTAAATACGAAAAATTCAGGCGAATTTCGATGTCGTGCGATACTACTTTTCGTTTATATTCGAATTTTATCTAAAATTCTTCCCTAACAATATTATAAAAAAAATTATGATCTTTCGTTTAGTTTTAATTTTTTTATTAAAATCGACATTCATTTAGAATTTTTTTTGAGTTTAAATCCGAACAATTCAGGCCAATTTCAATGTCGTGCGATAATACTTTCGTTAAAATTCTTTCCGAATAATCTCCTAGGCGGGCTATTAGACAAAACCATAAGCTTCCACTGGTTTTCAAAAAAAGATGAAGGAGTTTCACCATGGGCAAACAAAAATGGAACTGTAGAAAATATTAATAAAAAACGAGCTCTGGCAATAAATCTAAAAATGGATAAACAAACATTAATAAAAAGGCCGAGAATTTATTCCAAGCATTTTACTGTCCCAGGTATTTTTTAACGATATAATAATTCAATTATAGGTACATTTTCCATAGAAATTTAAAGTATTTTTTGTAAGAAATGAATGACCTATTCTGAAGTAGTTTTTACTTTAACATTACAGTGTTTAGGGTCTTATCTAAATAATAAGTTTCAATTTATGTTATATAGGTGTACAAAAAATAACCAGGAGACTAAAAAAAAAATGCCATACCAACTCAGAACTCACCAAAATCTGTTGTTTATCAGCCTTCACCAAAAAAAAAAAACCCCAAAGATGTATTAGAAATCATAGTTTAATAACTAAGCAAAATTGTAAGGTAATTAATTTTTAACTTTAATATTTATAAAGTTTAAAATACTTTTAAATAACTTAGTTTGATATTTAATAGTATGTGAAGAATTTGGATTTTTTTTTTGTACTAGGAAATTTAACACATGGTGATGATACAGTTCCAACACAATCAGTTGATAAAAGTGGCAATCCAATAAACAAAAAATTCCATATTCTTAGAATCATAGATGATATAGGACTGAAATATCTAAAACTAGAGATTTTGCAATTCAAGTGTCTACAGGCGAAATTGAAAATACCATTTACAACTATTTTAGAAACAAAAGCAAAACTAATAACCATGACGGGCATCTTTTAAAATTTTAGACAAAATAATTGAAATGTTTTAATTAACTTGGTTCGCGACGAGTCGCAGGTGTCGGCAACCGAACGATATTGCCGTGACTATTCGTAGCGGTCGGCGGCCGAAAAATATTCCCGCGACGAGTCGTCGGCGGTAGCCGTTGCCGCCGCAGCGCATACAGAACCTCATGTTCTCCTGGTACTGTGTTGTCCTTAATAAAATTCTCGTTTCGATGCCGAACCCAGCCGAAAAAAATCCGCCCTAGAAAAAAAATATATTTGTTATTAAACTTTAATAATATTAATTTAGATGCGGTTACTGTTTTAGGTAATTTGATGTATATTTAAGCAACGATTAACCATTGCTAACGAAAAATGCGGAGTTCGGTTTTTAGTATTGCTTTGTCAACATTTGTATATATTTTATATTATGGTAAAATAATGTATTATATTTTCTTTAATAATACTTGTTTAATATTTTACCTATTTTCCCGTTTTTCTTACATTTTTCCCGGTTTTCTTATGTTTTTTCTAGTTTTTCCCATTTATTAGGAAAATGAAAAAATTACTTCCCTAAATTACAACTCCTGTTAAATTTCCTTTCAGGAAAATTGTTATTATTTTAAATCGCAACAAATATGCTAGTGGAAATGTTGTACACAGAAAATAATAATGCTGTAATATTTTTCAACTATAATACATACATTTCGTACATTTTCCCGGTTTTTCCATTTTATTTGATCATTGTAAATTGAAGAAAAATTGAAGGTAGAGAAAAAATATATATACACCATTGTAAAACCAATACATTCCTGGCTCCACTCAGAATCTAAAATGATTAAAATGATGTGGTTCTTTTAATGTGATGAAGTAGTAATCGGAGATGAAAACATTCAGTATTATTAGGGTGCACTGTGTAAATTTGACTAATAACATCAGAACCCTTATATGAATATCCTGGAACAAATAATCCACAACTCATCTTTTGAAACTCTTATTACCATTGGTATTACCATTCCAAGTATAATATTTTAAGATTTAATTATATTAATATTATTGACGTTAAATTTAAAACTTTTAAACACTTTTCGAGTACGATTACTGTTTATTATTGATCTCGGTACGAGAAGTACAATGCTATTTATTATTGTGTGACCAGGCTCGTAGACAAACCAAATCATTGGCGGGGGTTAGGTTAGGTTAGGTTAGGTAAACTAACCAAATTTTATGGGGACCTATTAAACCATAACCATAGCATACCATTACATATACGCATTTAATATTTGTTGAGGTGGGTAACGATTAAGTCCTGGGAAGATAGAAATTCCACCTTACCCTCATGACTACAGTCTGAATACATACAGACCTGTATGTGACGAACTAAAAATACTAACAATACAGATTTTATGAAAATAAACGACGTAGTACAGTTATCCGAAAACGATAAGAACCCGGTCTCGATTCCATATTAACACGGTGAACATGAAAACAAAAACAAAATTAATTGTTGACGCATCGACGGAAATTGAACCAGCGACCAGACGTATTCTTGAATCCCCTAACCTAACGCCTAATGAGATTCCTACCTATTACTGAAAAACGGTATTGTTTTATCGGTACATGAGTATATAAATGACAAGGATTCGGTTCATTATTGTTATTCCTAATATCGATCCTGATCGATTCCCGGATCGACAATAATAACAAATTTGTGTTATCGGTGGGTTGCGGAAATTTTACTCGGCCGTTTACAACGTAATGAGTGCAATGGAGACAACCGTACAAGCGTTAACGTCAGATCGAAACGGAGGCCTTCGGCTACTCACTGGGTATAATATAATAAGTTAAAGTTATTAGTTACCAATTACGGCTCAGTAGTTAGTGGACAGCTTGTCGTTGAACTCCAATATATTATATATTATATTATAATATGTTATAATATATTATACAATCGTCACCAATTATTTTTTTTTATTTAAAAATATCATTAAATTATACCCTAATGATATTGAGTGTGATTTAATTGAAGAAGTAGTTCAATTTAGGTATAATATGTAATTTTGATATTGAAAAGAAATATTCTGTTCATTGCCATGCTCAAATGTCAGGAGAATGTTCTTTTTCTGTACTAAAGAGGGTAAAAAACTATTTAAAATTTTCATTGAAAAATGAAAAATTGTCAGCACTATCTGTTTTATGTATTGAAAATAATATTTTAAAAAAAGATTAACTGGGAAAACATCATTCATATTTTTTTTACAAAAAAAAAATGTAAATATTTGTACAATATACCTTATTAAGTTTTCATTAAAATATCTACAATTTTATATTCTAAGCTAAGCAAGATTTATTTAGTAAAATTTATTGATATGTGTTTTTTTGTGTATATAGTGGCTTGATTTTCATATTATTTACTTTAAGGATCAAACATTTTGTTTTCATAGTAACAAAATATCAATTATATTATGATTATATGATGATTGATTTATTTATTGATTATATTGTATGCAGTGGCGTATATACAGTTTCTTTCTGGGTAGTAATGGCTACAAAAAAATCAGTGTCAGTCTATCTGGAGAATTTGACTAATTTAACAACTACTTTTTATTTTTAGTAATGATCGGTATTGTGTGTGTGTTTGTGGGGGGGGGGTGGAATTAATGAGTCTAAAAAAATATGTACCACTTCACCTTAACACAACACTGCACCTCACTTACAATTGTTATAGGAGTGGCCTATGCATTTCTTTATTATCTGAGTACAACTGATTTTAACAACTTTGATAATAACTATTCCTGGCAAAAAAGTTACATGTCCAGGACATTGACCGTTTTTGCACATTTACTTTACAAAAATATCATAATCATTTTAGATACCATGGATTGAACCTGAACAAAAATCTATAAAAATATGATTTTATAAAAATTATGTTCATGTACCCTATTTGCATTTAGTGATTCATGTAATTTTTAATTAAGTATACTTAATCAATGACATAATTATACGACCCACTGGGGGGGAGCGAATGCTCTCTAGCTCCCCCACAAGTAGACCAGTGTCCTTTCTTTCAAATACTAATAGATTATTTATTGGAGTAAAAGTGTTTTCAAAGGAAAAAAATAAATCTTTATAAAACTAGCTTTTTCATACTCAGATTCTAAAATGAGTAAAATGTTACATTAAATTGCATTTTTTTTTTTAATGTTATATTTGTGTGTATATAAACTGATATTTTATATTTAATATAGTTTATATTTCCGAGTTTTGTTAAAATGTATTAACATAAAGCTTGTTTTTGTTCCTCTATGTGCATGTGACAACATCTTTGGTTTCTAAAGCTTTAACAAAAAAATGAAATACTTTATAAATCTATTATATTTAATTTTAGCACTTGTATTACATTTTACAATTGATAAACAAATGGCAGCCACAATGCATAGGTGTAATATTGTATTCAACATTAAAATTATTTGATTTTCTAAATTTCACTAAATTTTATTAGTAACCCAATATTCTTTGCATGTTATAATACTCATTATTAAAAAAGGAAGTCAATAATTGTACCAACCAGTAATTGTTTTGAATGGCACAACATATTTAACATAAATAAAAATTGTGAACAAAAATGTACTAACCATAGTACTTGAATAGTTATACATACATTTTAAGAAGTAACTATTTGAACAAAAATAATAATATTTAAGTATTTGAATAATAGTACTCAATATTTAATAGAAACTACATAATTATTTTACCTAATTAAATAAATAACAAAAATATTTGTTTATTACAAAAAATTTAATTAAAAAAAAATCAAATAAAACTTAATAAGACATAATTGCATACTCAAATAATATTATAATATAAAAATTGAACCCACTCCATAATCTACACAATAACATGGTTTTATATTTTATAACTATTATAATAATACAAATATTTACTTACAGAATACATAATCCCATTTTTTTTCTTAATATATTTCTGTCTTAAAATGTCTATATAATTCGTAATAATACAAATTAATATAATATTTTCACATTTAAAATAAATCTTAGTTAACAATTTAAAGTATTTTCTAACTGAGTTTATAATGAAAACAATATTAAATTTAAAAATACTAAATTTGTATTTATAGACAAATGATAAATTATAGCAAAGGAAAATGATTCTGAATTGAATATTATGAAATTCATAAATGAAATTCATGAAATATTATGACTTTTACAACATTTATATAAATTTGAACTATAAACGATTATAAAACAAATTATCTACTATATATATTACATTCAACTTTTTTTAACCAAGTACAATTTATGACATATTGTATTAAATTGTTAAACATTTCTGCTAAACAAATTTCCAAAACAAAATTATATCCATATAAAACTAAAAAATTTTAAAAAGCCCTTAAATAACCTCAAAAATCACCAAAATGTTTTCAAAATTTTACTGTCTAGAATGTACTACAATAAGTAATTGGTGAAAATGTCAGGTTTCAATTATTTCTAACTAAATTATAAGAACTAAAATAAAATCAAAATATCACCTTCCCAATGTACCAACTAAATTAAAATTTGTTACCAAAATTCACCCATATTGTTAATTTTCAATAAAGAAGTTGTTTACAAACAGAAAAAAAATAGAAACTAAAATTAAACAATATTATCCTGATAAAAATCATACACTTTAATTTAAATATAAAACAAAATTGTTAAACTTTGAAACACAAACCATTAAAAAACACTATTCCTAATATATTTAAGTAACATGTGTAATATTCTATATGATATTGAGTTGACAACAGAAACAAATTAATAATTTGAATGTACATTTTCAAGAAAGTTTTTTAAATAATTGTATTCTCAAAAATAAAAAAATAGATACAATAGTTTTACTATATACTATAATTGTATAATCAAAAATGTATTATTACACAATCTATGGTATTAATAATTTGTATATTATTCAACCATATAGTATAAAAAATTATTGTCAATGGATTCATTATAAGTCTAATAATAATACAATTATAAATCACATGTATAATGAATATTGATTATAAATAAGTAAAATAAAAATTTTACTAACAACCAACTAAATTAAATTGTATTCATCCAGATTCCCAATTTGTATGAATCATTAAATTACTTTGTCCAATTAAACCCCACCTGATTGTATTTTATCTAAAATAATTAAGAAATTAAACAACAAAAGAAAATTAGTAACAAGATATAATGTTATATATATACCAAAACAGTGGCTATTTTAAAATGAAAGCAAAATAACCCTAATAAAAATTATCACAGCCTATATTTTAAACATTTCACCATAAAATAATTACATTATTTTGTTAAAATAGAAATATAAACATTCTTTTGAAGAACAAGAATGAAAAATGTCATACGAGTTGAGCAGCTCGTTAAAAATACATAGTACTAGACTTAACTAGAAGAACTATGAATATATTACATTATTATCTTATAAATTCTATTGTTATTGTTGTCCATAATTAGGAAGATATGTGAATACTGTAAATGATTCTAATGATTGTTATAGTATTAAGCATGTAGTTGTTTATTTATTATCCATTTTGGAAGCATTAATTTTTTCTTTTACAACAGCTATGGAAAATAATAAAAAACCAAACAAATACCAAATAAGAAAATAAATAAATTTATTTATTATGTTAATATAGCATATTATTTATTATTTACCATCATAATATTTTTTAAGACTTTCTAGTTGCTGATTTCGTAACCAAATATGTGGACGCTTTGAAACAATATTTTCTATAGCTTGTTCGGGAGTCCAATTGTGTTTCTAAATGTATATAAAAAAATGAATAATAATAAATGAAAGTATTGAAATTATAGTAATAATAATAGAAACTAAACTATTGTATAGATACATACAGACATCAGATAACAACCCACAAGTGTAGCACTGCGAGTTCGACCTGCTTTACAATGTACATAAATAGATTTCCCATCTTTTGAAACCGATTCCATTAATGTAACACCTTGAATTAATTTTTCATGAGATGGAGTTTCAAAAATATCTCTTGTACTCAGCTGGCAATGTTCAACTCCCATTTTGGACCATTCCTAAGATTTATTTTTATTTTTTAATATATGTATTAAATAATAAAAATTATATTTTTACATCTGGTTGAGGTGTGAAATGTTCCAATTCGTAAGATTCATTCAAGGAAATTACACATCTAACATTCTCTTCATCAATCAACTAAAAAAATTATTTTAGTAGTATTTATTAAATGATTTGAATATATTGTTATAGTAGAGAAATACATTTGTGTTTAGACATTAGGAATTAAATAAATACTTTTTGACTTAGGCTTCTGAAAGGTAAAGCGCCTAAAATAACATTTTCATCAATTCTGTCATACCAGTTGCGGTGGGTTACTTTTTCCATAAATACATTATATAATAATGTTGGATAAAATGTAACACGAGCAAACATTGCTGGACTAAATAATCTGAATTCTAAAAAAAAAATTAATTAAAATTAACACAAATTGGTTGAATCATTTTAAATGTATCAAAGCTAAAACATTTATTATTTTGCAAGATCTTTAGTATTTACCAATATTTTAAAATTTACTTTGAAGGTATATTAATTTTAACTGAAGATAAGGTAAGGAAGGGGAATGGAAAATGAGCCTAGGACAATATTTTTTTAAACATTATATTTAGGTAATTGGTCACTTCATAATGTAAAGTGGACAATTATTATTTATAGTATTAAATTTTTTTTGGTACATTTTTTCCCTAACATTTTTCTAATCACTAAGTGTCACTAACAAGATATAATAAAATAAAATAATAATAACAGAAAACAATTTTTTTATACCAAAATACAAGGTTATACACAATATAAAACATTTAATTTTTTAATATATTCACAGACATATTATATTTTTTAAATTGTAATATAATATAGGTAGTTTAAATAAAATAAAATAAAACAATAATTAAAATAAATAAATAGGTCATTAATATTTAATATTATTACTTAGACTTTATAATTAATTTAGAATTTCATCTTTTGAATAGTCCATACAAAAATTATTACAAATAGATAAATACAATTTTTTATCACTTATAAGTTTCATAAAATTATTTAAAAAATATTTGTATTATTTATTGTCAAAGACACCATTATTGTTAAGTTAACACATAACAAATAATTTAAAATGTTATCTTTTCTGGAAACATAAACTCTGTATAGACCAATGGTCTTAAATCTTTTTTCCTCGCGATCCACTTTTTTTTACCATATATTTTTTGGAAGCATTATCAATATTACCTTTGTTAGCCATGAAAAGTAAACAAAAATAAACTGAAATTACTTAGTATCTTAATATGCCACTGTAGAAGTGCTATTATATAACTGAATAAATAATAAATTATATTTTTACTATATGTAACAGCGAAAATTAATGTGACTATTTTACATAAAAAATTCCATCTCGACTCGATTTTACACAATACAATCCGCAAATCATTTTCAGTTTAAAGTCTATTTTTTTTCTACATAGATATATAGCTAGCAGTAATAATGTTATAATGTTATTTTTTAGTATAAGTAAAATATACTTTTCACAACCCAATTATAAAGTTTACATGGCCCATTATTGGGTCCCGACCCACCGGTTGAAAACCATTGGTATAGACTATACCAACTATTTTTGGTTGTTACAAAATATTTTCCTCAATAAAGTTTAACTTTCTAACTGTATATACATATAGGGCATATTTGTAAAAATAATTGTTTTAATACCAAACACAAAAAAGAAGAAAGAATCGTAAATAGAGATATTAAATTTTTTTGTATTTTTTCCATATATAAAGGGAAAAAAATTGTATCTATTTGTAATAATTTTAGTATCAACTATTAAAAATATGAAATTCTAAATTACTATATAGTCTAAGTATTAATATTAAATATTAATAACCTATTTATATGCTTTAATTATTATTTTATTATATTCAAACTACCTGTATTATTACTGCAGGTTTTACGTTTCAAAAATATAATATAGTGAATTTTTTTCAAAAATGAAATGTTTTATATTATACATTACCTAGTATTAGTATACAAAATTGTTTTCTATTATTATAATTTTATCTAATTACATCTTGTTTGTGACACTTAGTGATGAGAAAAATGTAAAGGAAAAAAATATACCGGGGCCAATAAATGTTGTGTATACAATTATGAAGGGGACTGATTGTCCACATCAGGTGGTTTTTTTTTGTGAGGACCAATTGTTTTTTTATCGTGGAAAATATATGGAAGATTTTTTCAATACTTTGACTATTTTTTGACTCCAAGAGGCAGACTTTTAGAGATTAAAATTTTTCTAAGACCTCATAAACAGCAGACTTTAAAACCTGTCATATCTCTGTGGGAAATGGGAAAATCGAAAATTCAATTACGAAATATTAGTAAGATGTAAGGCACGGAAAATATTTTGTCGAGTATTTTTATAATCAGCGTTTTTCGATATTTTTTTTATCCTAAGAACAAGGTACCTGTAATTTATGTACTCTAGTAATCTAGGTACCTATAATGATTTAAAAAATAAATCAATTTCTGTCAGTGATTAAACTATACAGTTTTTTAAAATATGGACCTAAACTATTCTCACGATAAGAAATATTGTATTAACATAATATATTTATATGGGAATTGATCCAATAAAAACTAATTAATAAAAAAAAATATTATATAGATTATAAAATTAATACTTACATGCAATTAATAATATGTTATTTAAGATTTTACAAATAATTATTGTCCTTATGGAAGCTGTTCGTCACACAATTCATTGACTACTAATTCGAAAGTGTAACGTTGCTGGACGACTACGAACTAAGAACTGTTTGATACACTGTGTCACTGTCCTAAAAAAAGATAATATTGTGTACTGTTATTAGAAATCTACACTTAAGAATAAAAAAAATACGATCAGATAATGGAAAAAAACTGTATTCAACAATCGACATATGTTTGCCTATCACGAGAGCATATTGACAACAGGAACGTTGGGCATTATCACTTATCACACAACCAATGTAAATAAGTCTGAACGAGAATGTGAGATCACAGATTATAGTATTCAGAGTATTCTCAAGTACAATATAATCTGTGGTTTTGATCACAGAATATGTTAAAATTAAAATACATTTCATAAATTATTCAGGACGAAAATTAACAAAGGTAAGTAAATATTGTAGGTTTATCTTTTGTTCGATGTACATATTTATTTCTTATGATAAATGTGTATTGTATTATTATTATTGCTATTCATTTTTTTTTTTTTCAAGAATCTAAATTCTTGTTCATCACTCATTCAAGTTATGAGAGAAAAAAAATTATTTGACAGATTTATTTTAACTTATAATTATTATTTAAATTAGTTTTAATTTTTAATATCTATAATCTATATATCTGTTTTTGGTGTTATAGATTTCCCTAAAACGGCAAAATTACAAAATTTGGTTCGTACTTGTCCACCGAAAGGAATCTTGACATAGTTCAACCTCGTATTATGCAGTCTTCATTTTTTCCATTGAATAGTATGCCAGCCAGCTATAGTTGTTGGTGGAAACGTATGCTATAAACGTATTCCTGATAATTTAATTGCAAAGGAAGAAAAAAGTAGATTCTTAAATAAATCAGTTAAAATTTAAGTAAATATTGTTTATGATTTGATACTAACTTTTCTGTTATGCAATTCATAAAATGTAAAATTAACATATTTCCACCCTGGGTAGGCCACTATTGTAGGTGGAAAGTTAAGAAGGTACACGATACAGGGTTATCTAGCTTATAAAATAACAAATGTAAAGATAAATTATTACAATCAAAAAACAGTTCCGAGCGGAGCTTGGTAAACAGATAAAGTTATACAAGGTATCCCACAAACATGCACCCATTGTAATATCTCTAGTGATAATATACAATTAATCAAATTGTTTTTTTTTTTATTACTGGTCCACTTAACCACTCATTATCCTGTAAATAATTTTCAATTCTGTTTTTGGGACATTAGACTAGACTAATAGATCTTAAATTCCTAAGTTTACTTACAATTTTTTAAATTCTTCTATTCTGAATATGTGCAATAAAAGTACTTCTTTTAAATGACAATCCCTATTTTGAATGTTATTTTTGGATTTATTGATTTCTTTCAAGCAATTTTCACATCAACTTGTATTCTAAACCTAAAATTGGCTAAACCAGAACTAAGGGTAATTTTTAAAAAAATGTATTAAATTTGATTTTTTTTTTAACTGAACATATTTTTTATTTCTAAACACCACAATACAAAGTAATTAATAAAGTATGATACAATAATTAATTCAGTTACAAAAAAAAATTACACTTCGTTCTTGTTTAACCAATTTTGAGTTTAGAATACAAGTTGATACATGAAAATTGCTTGAAAAAATCGATAAATCCTAAACCGACATTTAAAATAGATGTTGCCATTTAAAAAAAGTGAAGTTTTGTTGTGCATGCACAGAATACAAGAGTTAAAAAAACTTTAAATCTTAAGAATTTAAGATCTATTTATCTAGTTTAATGTCCTGAAAATAGAATTGAAAAATTTTAACAAGATAATGAGTGGTAAAGTAGACCCTGTTTTCATGGACATGCAGTGTGTATATATATACATATATACATATTACTCATAGGGATATACTCATAAGTACTACAAATATTTATACTTCAATTAATTATTTATGTTTTGGTAAAAAACTCAAAAACATAACTTTATTTTATTATTTTTGAAAAATTTGAAGATGGCCATTTTGTAGAGTTGATTCTTTTGAAAATTCGAGATTTTTAATGATTGTTTAAAGTTCAGTGATAAAAACTGTACAGTTAATAGCCATAATAATGATGATAAATTAGTGAATGCGATTACAGACTGCTGGATAATTATAAGTAGGTACTTTCTCTGAGCTTCAAAAAATTACTAAAAATAAAATGTTGGAATGTCAAAATTTTCAGAAGAATTTTCTATAATAATTAAATGACTCTTCAAATTTTTCAAAAATAATACAATTTATTACAAAATAAGTTTTTTTATTTTTTTTATCAAAACAATATTTGTAGTTATTATCCCTGTGTGTGATAGAAGAAAAAAACAGAATTCTATTGTCTTTATTATATCAGGAGATATTACAATGAGTATATCTTTGTGGGACACTCTGTATAACTTATTATTAGTCATGTTTTTTCCTTGTACCCAGAAATTAACAAAATGAAAACCATTCATTTTATATCAGTTTTTTCTTTTTAAACTTATTAGAAAAATTTTTCCAGAAAAATAATTATTATTGCAACATTTAAAATAAGGTGTAAATTATTTATGTGAAGCATTTTGACTGACTAAAAAGTGTTTTCAGAGAAAAAATAAAAAGTCAATAAAGTATCATCAGGTTGTAAATTCACAACATTTAAATTTCAGTATGGAATAAAGTATATCAATAAAAAAAAATACTTGTCAATAAAACTAATATCTACTTTGCTACATTCAGAATCTAAAATAATATTGTAACAATATTAATGATAATATTTTACATGTAATATTATCAAACATTTTAATAAAAATTATAATATTTATATTTTAGGATATCTTTTTACTTTATTTTCTATATTATTATTTATTATTTTTTAAAATATTTTGTTAAAGTAATGTATTTATATATTATGTATACATAATATAATATAACACAAACATCAGACATAGAAAATAATTTTTGTTAATTTCAATATTTTTAGTTTTTTTTCTTTTAATAATAATTACTTGAGCCTTGTACTACTACTTCAACATTTTTAATTTTTTTAAAAAACTAATAATCATTTTAATTTTTAACCAAGTTATTTTACAAAATCTGAAATAGCCATTTATAAATATATTTTAAAACAAAATTTTGGTGCTAGTATGCATGTTTAATAATAATGGAGTAATTTCTATAATTTTATAAGTTTAAAAATTTTTTAATTTTTTTCATTACCATTACCATTACCAGTAAGCAAGATAAATTATTGCCAACAAAAAACAATTCAGTTGATAGTGTTGTTTTGTCAACAATATATGTGTCATATTATGGCAAAATAATTACATAGGCATTGTATATGTTCTTTAATAATATTTGTTTCATAATGTACCTTTTCTCCTAGTTTGTTTCATTTACTAGTAAAATCAAAAAATGACCTCCCTAAAATACCTTCCCGGTCAGTTTTCTTTTCAGAAAAAGTGCCACACTTGAAAATCAAAACAAGATTTTGGGTAGAAAAGTTGTCCACAGAAAAAAAATAAACATCGTAAAACCATAATCTTCTTTGCCTCACTCAGAATCTAAAAAAGTAGTGGTTAGTTTATAAACCAAATAATAACGTATAATCTAAATTATAATATGAAAGTAATTTATTTGACTAAATATGTGATTAAATACTAATAATTATATTAATCTTTGTTTATTAATATTGTTTTGTTATAAAATGTTATGACTTATGAAAATGTTTTCTTATTTTTATAATGTACTATATTAAATTAATTATTAAAAAAATGTATTCTATGTTCTAAAAGTAAAATGCAAATTAAAATAATTAGTGTTACTAAAAATAAAAAAAATATAGCTATTCCTATATTCTCACTAATTTGTTCGTGATATAAAGTGTTTTTTTTTAATATTCTATTTTAACTATTGATTTCTTATTGTTATACTCTACTCTTATTATATCAAAAAGAAATTAAAGTTATTTGCATAACTAAATAGGTATAGTAAAAATATATTCTTACATTCTCATTAATTTATTTATGTTGTAAAAAATATTATATTAACACTTTTAGATAATAAATAATAATCAAATAATTTATATTTCTAAACATATTTATGTTTAATAATAACTCATTTTAAATAATTTCTTCTATTAAAATAAATTATTTCTATGTAAAATTACCAACTTTAAGAATTGTTTTGCTGTATATTCCTTTCATTTATTTTTCCATATTCAGTGCATTTTACTTTTTTCAAAATGTTTTGTAGTCGTATTGTCGTAGTCTAGCTCTCATAACTTGTATATTAAGATCTTATAGTTGTTAACATCAGTGACGTAGCATGCACATAAGCACTGCGCTTACACTTTCAGTTATAAAATATTATAGATGTATTTTTAAATGAATAATTTAAGCAATGATCATGTTCTGATAATGTAAAATTATACATACAATTTTAGAATTTTGGAAAAATATAAGGATATGATGTTTTATAAGCAACTTTTAAATGTGTTTTACAACCTATCATCGTGATATTAATAGCTTGATGCTATTTGCTATACTAACAGCATTAGTAAGACCACATACGAAACTACTATATTTAAACTCTCATCAGTTCAAAATATTATTACTCTATGCAGTGTTTATTTAAGAACTAGGCTTTCTAGGGATAGTAAAAATAGCTGGAGGTATAGGTAGGTATATATTTTTTGGCGATTGCTTACACTATTGCAGACTGCTTAATGCCACGCCACTGGTTTAAATAAATGTATTACTAACAGTTTACATCCGAGTTTTAAATAATTATAATACAGAGACCACATTGTAACACAATATTTCATAAAATATAGTATAGTGAAAACCAGTAAGTTATTAATTAATCAATTTGTATTGAAAAGGTTCGTGTTATAGGTACATGTTACAAGTTTTAATTTCTGTTTATGTTAATTTTTCACTGTATTCTAAACTATATCATTTAAGGGTACATAAATATACCAAATCAAGTTCCTATACGAATATGTGTACGCATCTTCAATGTATTCGTAAGAGATACAAAAGAGACCTCCATGTACCAGGAGCCCAAGACTCCAACTCTATTGCCGCGAAGAGTCGTAGTTGTCGGCGGCCAAACAATATTCCCGCAACATATTCCCTATTCCTGAGTCTTCAGCGGTAGCCGCAGCGCAAACAGAACCTCATGATCTCCTTTTTGACTCGATGAATATCAAAAAATCAATTCAATGGAACAGTGTCAATCATAAGTAAAAATATAAAATACTTACAAAATAATTTTTAATTAGTTATTTATTATATTATTATCATTGGGGCATGTTGGTTATTGTGATTATGATTTATGATTAAGAAATTATTGTAGAGGATTGTGAAACACCTTCATCCAAAGTACTAGTATTCATGTTGTCCAGTATTAACACAATTTGGATATTAATTTGTAGGTACAAAAAGATCAACTGTTCAATTACAACTTATTAAAATCGCTCTAATTCAATGTGAAAAATATTAAAATACAAATTATAAATCAGTAATTACAAATACCTAACACCTACCTATTCTTATTTACCAATAATATTGTGATTATTATTCAAGTAATGGAAAATAACATAAAAATTTATAATCGAAAAAATTGATGATTCTAATTGCACACAAAGATAACAGCAAATGACAGTAACATTAATTTCTATGATACCTACTACCTAATTATACAGCAGTTTATTATCTATATCTGTGGTAGCTACTATGTCGAGGTGTATTTATAAATCAATAATAAAACAATACGTCTTGAACTAGCATGTTTTTGTGAATTTAAAACCAAAAACATAAAACTATAATTGATAACAAATATAACTAAGTTAATCGCCAAAACACATTTGTAAATTTAAACACTCAAAAAATGTCATATTTTACAAAACTTTAAAAATTTCTTAAAATGAATTGACTTTACCTCAGTAAAAGTTTTTGACGCCAACATTTTTCTAAAAATTGGATTTACATAATGGCTGTCTCGATTTGTTTAAAAAATTTTAAATACAATTTTGAATTTTTCATTTCAAATACCACACTAAAAATACCAAATCATATTCGTATATCAACAAAACACCCTCAGGGGAACACCTAGTGGTACAGGCTTAGTGAACCCAGGGCCCGAGCTGAGGCGTAGGGAAAGCGGCGCGCCCATTGCCCAGTGCACTTAATAAGTACACTGCAATAGCCCTACTCTGACCTTAATTAGTTGGAGTAGATTGGTCCTCCAGGTTGGGGGTTTAGCGCAGGGCTAACAACCCTGCCTTAGAAAAAAAATATTGTTCAGGAACTAACAACAAACTTGCCTCGGAATCGTGGAGCTATGGAAAACAAGACTGGAAAATGGAAAAATGGATTATCTTTTGGAACATGGAACATTCGCACACTTTATAAACATGGAACAATACATTGCTTAGTTGAGAAGACAGAGAGATATAAACTAGAAGTGGTGGCCCTACAATAGATAAGATGGAATGATGAAGAAACACTGGATATCCAAGGAACAACGATTTTCTACAGGGAGTGTAATAGACATTGTCAGTTTGGAACGGGCTTCGCAGTACATAAAAACTTAGTACCTTCAGTAAGAGAACTCAAAAGCATTAACCCAAGAATATCAGTGTTAACAATAGAAGCACAATATTTCGATATCACATTTGTGAATGGGCATGCACCCAAGAGAAAACGCAAGAGGAAAAGGACAACACACGCTAAATGAAATCCCACGAAATAGAATTAGAATAGTCCTAGGAGACTTCAATGCCAAGTTAGGGAAGGAGAACATATTTTGGTTAATGATTGGTATCCATAGCCTTCACGATGTAACTAGTGAGAATGGACTCAGGCTTATAGATTTTGCAAGTGGTGGAGGACTTATTGTAAAGAAGGCGACAAGGCGATGCGCTATCTCCAGTGTTGTTTAACCTGGTACTTGAAAAAATTGTAGGAGAAATGAACGTTTCAGAAGGAATTGAGCTAGGTCAGGTAAAAATAGGGCTCATAGTATACGCAGAAGATATTGCTCTCTTGGGAGATAATATTGAGATGATAAAAAGTCTGGGAAAGAAACTTATAATGGTCGCAGAGAAAGTAGGATAAACTGTTAATGATGATAAGACAGAATACTCTATTGTTAGTCGAAGTAATAGATTATGGACTAGAACATATTGAGTCAGAAGGACACACATTTAGGAAAGTATCACAATTCAAATATCTGGGATCGATTATTACTCAAGATAATGAACTTAAGACAGCGGTTTCGTCGAGAATACAATTAGCCAACAAGGGATATTATGGATTAGAAAGAATATTAAAATTGAGGACACTCTCTAAAAATTTAAAAATAAGAATGTATATGACATTACTACGACCTATTGTCCTGTATGGTTCTGAGACATGGGCATTGAGGAAAGCTGAAGAACAGAGACTAGTATTCGAGAGGAAAGTTTTAAGAAAAATATATGGACATATAATATAATATATAATAATATATAATATAATATATATATAATATATGGTCTTTGACAGTGAAACAAATGAATGGAGAAAATTGCATAATTATGAACTCAAAAGACAGTTTCAGAGACCTGACATAGTTAAGGAGATCACAAAAAGAAGATTCATGTGAGGGGGCCATGTCTGGCGTAAACAAGGATCTCTAGTTATACAGGTGATAGAGAAAGAACCAATAGGTAAAATACTTTTAGGAAGACCCAGACTGAAGTGGGAAGACTGTGTAAAAAAGGATTTAAAAACATTAGATCCAGAAATCGGATGGAGATAAGTTGCAGAAGACAGGGACAGGTGGCAAGATTTGTATTTAGCGGTATGGTCTTAAAGGCCGAAGTCAAGAAGAAGAAGAAGAAGAAGAAATCACCAAAACACAGACTATTTTACTGCCAAAAACACATTGAGTGTGCCTTCTCAAATCGCTCTCAGTCGTACGACCGGTATTCTTATTTTTTTGTACGTAACAATTTCGTATCCAATGTGCGCGCGGCCTACGAATACAATGAATACGGATGACGTACAAACGAGTTACACAAGGTACATCAGTGTACCAGGAGCGCAGGACTCGGATGTTATTGCCGCAACAGGCCATATAGGTCGGCGGCCGAACGATATTCCCGCGATGAGTCTTCGGCGATAGTCATTGCCGCCACACCAAACCTCATGTTCTCCTGGTACTGTGTGGTCCTTAATATAATTCTTGTTTGGATGCTGACCCCAGTCGAGATATCCATCCTAGAAAAAAGTTGTATTAAAATATGATGCAGTTTATCAGTGTATTAATTTTTACCCTATAAGAACAACAATTTAAAATATGTATAACTAAATACCTCTCCTTCGTATATCATTTTCGTTTAAATGTTTTTTTTTTATAAACACTAGTTGATAAAATTGCCTAAAAACCCCGGTCAAAATGAAGTCTACATAATTTGGAAGTTTAGGTTGGTTTAAATAATGAGTTGTATTTCTTAAGAGTTCATTTATGTAAATTATTTTATTTTATTATTATAAAATAACCCTGGGTGACCTGGTTTCTAGTTAAATAAAAATAAAATCACAGGAATTCATATTTGTGTTTGTACCGATTGCGGGTTGCTGTTGAAATAATAATTATTTATTTGATTATGTGTACTTCAGAAGTCAGTGGGTTATAGGTATTACATACTCAAAATTATAAAATTATGCTTTTTATTTACTTTTAAAATAAATAAAGATATCAAGTGTCTCTGGTTATAATAAATAATCCACTATTGTTCGTTAAATAAAGAGCATTAGTTCTTAAAAGTAAATGCTTGCAATGCATGTAGCATTTTAAGTAAAGAAAAATTGACAATAAAAAGAAAAAAAAATTATTACACATTGTTTTAAGGTGTCAGATCTCAGTTTTAATTTCTTGACACACTTTACTTAATAATGGATGGTTCAGTACCTATATTTAGATTCAAATACAATTCTGGTTCTAAAACAATAGAGATAGATACAGGTTTTAATTATCAACTATAGCAATAATTATTATATTATATGATTTTATTTATATGTTAGAATGTTATAACTACATTGATAATAGTATATATTCCTGCTTTTAAAACAAGATGACATGCAAAACCAAATGAAAAAAAATGAAATTCAGGATTAATGATATAATAATAAATTATTATTTTTTAATTTAATTTAATTATTATTATTTTAATTTAATGTATATCTGTATGTAACAATAAACCATTGCTAAAAAAAAACGATTCTGAGCAAAGTTCAGTTGATAGTGATGCTTTGTCAACAGTATATAAGTCATAATATAGTAAAATAATTAAATAGGCCCTATAAATTTTCTTTAATAATATTTGCTTAATGTTGTACCTGTTTTCCTGATTTTCCCTATTTTATCCCAGTTGTTCACATTTGCTGAGAAAACTTCAAAGAAAATCGAAAAACAACCTTTCTAGTGAAATTTTTTTTAGTGACTTTACTATCATTATAAGTTGGAACAAAAATGCTGGTAGAAAAGTTGTGCGCGGAAAAGTTGTGCGCAGAAAAAATGAAGGCCGTAATGTATTTTAACTGATACTTATATTATCCGGATTTAAATTTTATTGAGAAAACCGAAAAATTACCTCTTTAAGGTATCTTCCCACATAGACTTCCTGTCAGGAAAGTTGCTACATGTAAAAGTCGGAGCAAGTCTTCTGGTAGCAAAGTTATACAAAGAAGAAAAAAATAATAAACATTTTTGTAAAAACCATAAGCTTCTCGCTCCACTAAGAAAACATACTTTCAAATAGTTCAACTATGTTTATTATGCAACATTAGTATAAAGCTATGAATAATAAATTGTATATATATATATATATATATATAAATATAATTTAAAATGTATATAAATTATTATTACAGTAAATTCAGATAGTAGATTACTTTTAAACTTACTATTTCATATGCTTTTGAATCATACAATTTTGATAGTTTAATTTCTTCTAAGGAAACAGTCAGGACAATCTATAAACATAATATGTAATATATAATACATATATCAAAAAATATAAAATCTATACCGTTGATTCGAACCAAAGAAAATTGATACTTAATTAAAATGATTAAATTAATAAAATAAATCTAAATATTAATTCACATTTAAATATAAATAAAAAATGAAATATATTTTTGGATGAGAATATATGAAAACTACTATAAAATTTATATCATTTAAATTATCATAAATTAATAATCTTCATCCAAAATTATATAAATATTGAAATACTTAGTATAAAAATCATTTGTTTTATACCATTTTGTATTCAGTTGTAAAACTCATATTCCTTGTTGACTTTTCTTTTTCTAAATAAGTAAATAGAATTTGCTTATTATACATTAATATAATAATATTTCAAAACAATAAGTCCAGTAAATAACTAAAAAAGAAAGAAAAAATGAATTTTAGCACCATTACTCGTTTTTTGATTTTAATGCACCTTAAAGCAAGTATAATGTATTGATTTTACAATAATATATATTTTTTATTTTATATTTGTGAACAACCAGAAATCTAACTCTGATTTTCAAGTGCAGTACATTTTCTGAATGGAAATTTTATTTGGTTGACACACCAGGGAGGTTTTTTTTTATATTTTCTAAACGGTTTTCATAATAATTGTGAAAAACCAGAAAGTTTATGAATTTTATTGTGATTCAGTTAAAAATATTTGTAGAGGCTAGAAATTAGGGCAAAAACTTATATTTATATTTTCTAGAAGTAGTCAAATTTTCCAAATATTTTAGCCATTTTTGAGCTATTTATAAACATTTTAATTTTGTGAGTTTTTATTAGATAGGTATTTGTAGTTAAAATTGTTAGACCTAACAGAAATATTTGAAAATTTAACAGAAAATTGATTATTAAATGTACTTGGTGGAAAAAAAAAATTGAAATTGTTGTTGAAAGAATTTAAATATCAAATTTTGATGGAAATTGTAAATATTACGTCCATTCAAATCGTTTTTGGGTTAGCAAAGATTAATAGTTGTGTACAGATATACACTAAATTTCCCTCAATATCCTACATTCCTAACTTCATACCTACAACAGTGCCCCATCTATTGTGCTAAGAGTGTCAACCTTTTTTTTATTTTGAAAGTAATATCAAAAAATTTAAAAATTTCTAAAACCATTTCTTTTTTCTAAAGACCGAGATTTTAATGAAGATGATGATGCAACCAGACCTTTTTTTAGACGTTATAGCAAATTTGAAGACAAATACTTTTTCTGGCAGGGTCAATTTTTTAAATTAAAAAGCCCTTGAACTGTTATGCCAAACTTCATCAGATAGGCAACATGGAAAAGACAAATGCATTTTAGGTGTATTTAGACTCAGTAGAATCATACGTTTGAAATTCTTTGGATATAACTCAAAATAAAAAAGGATTACCATTTTCCAAAAATGTTTGCATTTAGTGAATCAAGACACATTTGTAAAAAAAACAAAACTAAATTTATGCCAAAAAAAACATTAGCATAATACTAGTGTTTTTTTTACATTAGTCCTAATGTATTATAATTATCTATGTAGGCAAGTACATTAAATATGCATTCCAATAGGTAATAGAATATATACTTACCAAATTTTTTCTTGATGTTTTTATATTTTTTTTTAAAAAATTCACAATATTTTAAATCAATATCATCACTGCCATTTGAAAAATAAACATCTTCTTCACATTTTTCTTTGTTAAAATTTGTATTAGTGTTGATACCCTTCAAAAATTCAATAAATGATATATATTTAATATATTTAACTATTTAATATTTAACCATGATTATATAGGCTATAGAGATATACCATTGTGTATAGTGGTATGATATCAATAGAATATTAGCGGTTGTCAGAAAATTGATAAGAGATTTTTTTCTGATTCAGTTGAAATATCGCCAACGTTGAACAAAATGTTTGTGTAGACCATAGATAATTTGTAATTATACTATATAGATTATATATTATCTATGGTGTAGATATTATCATTGTCAAAAAAAATAAAAAGTATCAATAATGTACTTATTTTTTAGTGCGTCGGTTTTCTTTTTAAAATAATTTATTTTTTATATTATAATACTTTTGTACAATGGAGCATTTGATTGGTTACGATTGCACAATGCATGTTGCCAGGTTAAAATGTATAAAGCCAAAATATCTAGAAGTGTTTTTCTCATATATCCGAGCAATTATAAAGACATTAATTTATGAGAATTTAAAAATAATAATCAATTTACTTTTTTACAACAAGTAATTGATGATATTATTGAACATATTGCTGACTTCATTGTTCGTAAGCTAACAACTAAATTAATGTGTGATGATTGCACTAAAGTTTTAATTCGAACCCATTCTGAATCTGGATCATTAATAACCATAAATAACCAAGGTGGATTAAATATTCAAAATTTATTATACAAGGTTTACGTGCATTAAGCGTTAAATTATTGCATAACGCTCAATATAGGTACGTCACTTATTACGCGACACTACGATTTATACGCAGTCATATTAGTACACTATCAATATATTTGCAAAAGATTTTTATACTCGGGCCATCTAAAACGTTAATCCTTGGCGCATCTATTGACATATGGCAACGGTGGCCAGCGTTCAGGCAAGTTTAGTGGTGGAATTGTAGAAATGTTTGAGAACGGATGAGTTTTGGTCACCTCCCAGTATCGTTCTCTCGATAGCCCAAGTATAGTGATGAATCGACCACAAATTTTTTTATTAATAAAAATCTTTTGGCAAACAATGAAAATGCCCATTGCCATAAGTGTAGAAGTTATATGAATTTGTAACTATGTAAGGAGAAGGATAAAGAAGAAAGAGTTTTAGGTTATAAACGAAAGGAATGTCAGACAACTCAAAGCATAAAGTATTTAATATTCAGATATCACGCATAGCTTATTATATTATAATTGTGTAATCAAAATTTAATTATAGGAAGGATAATAATGCTTTTTGGACTTATATTGACAAAAATGGTCATCTAAATTGTGAACTAAGCCTCAATCAACAGTTATAATTGGTGTACTCAATCTGGTTACACTAATAATACAGTTTTACAAAATTTTGTTTTCCAATTGATCACACTTAATAGATCGAAATTTTATGGAGACCATTACCTTTAAAAGTAGTTAAAAATATGTGTAGTGCAAGTTCTGATCTTCTTCCAATGTAAAAAACATTACCTATAAGTTGTATATA